TAATCCAGACGATATTCTGCAAGAATCGGTTTAATGGAAAAAAACTGCCCACTTCTGCGGTGTAAGGGATATAATTTAAAACAAAACGGCGTCACAAAGAGTTCATCGGTCTTCAAGGTACGAAGGATCGATGAAGACTGCGTTTTGTAGTATGCAATCAAAATGCATTCATCGATACCTGTTTGATAACAACCCCAATCAGAAGAACCTCAGAGAGCTTGGACCAAATATGAATTCGAGGAGAGACATCTGTCACNTTGGAACAAAATGGTGGAAAAACTAAACGTACTTTCTTATGCCCAGTCAGACAATTACGAACATTACCATCAGTATCACCACCACCACCGCCATCACAAAAGCTACAGAAAAACGAGGGACCAATGGTTAAGTCAGGCTGTGATCAAACGATTGTTCAAAAGATAGTTTGGTTTAGCATTAGCGAAATGCCAAATGCGGTTTGGGTGATATTTGCGTGTTCTTGTGAGTAACGATGACACCATAGTCAGCGATACCCTCGAGAAGTGTGTGTGTGTGTGTTTGATGAATGAAGGGATGCGAATGAGAGCGGTAGTATGCGTGACGGCATTGAGTCACGCCGACTGCTGATGAATCAGCCAAGTAGGACGACACATACGAACTGAAGGCAAATCATATGACAACAAGATCCACTGGGATGACTGTNCTAGCTCAGCCAGTCGGAGGTAGGCTGTAAACAGGTGCAGACGGCATGAATGTGTGAGTACGAACAAATTAACAAAAGCATATGCATATGAAACATATTGCTCAATTACACACCCAACAACTCCACGGTGAAATGTAGATAAGTATGCCGCTGGTAACTGGAATAGAATTTGGAAGGGTTGTATAAAGTGTGATTTGCTTGATTCCGCAAAGGATGTATTCTGTGAGTAGTTTATTATTCAAACGCGAATGCGGTCAAAAAGTTTGGTCGATAGACTCTCCCGTGAGCGAGTAAACGCTTTAGTCCAGCGATAGATAAACCCGACTATGGTAGATCAACACGTGATCATTAGTTAGCCAATCGGGATTTGGGAGTGGACCGACAAGTAACCGATCACAGCCACATTATTACATCCGTATCTAGTATTTTTCACTTTAAGCAACGAAAAAATATCGGCTGACTTCAGAGCAAATTTTACTTTTCCCCATTTCGAGCGGTTCCAATCCGATCCTCCCTACACACACTCCCACACACAACCTATTGTTCATCTAATAGTTGGGAGCACCCGGCTGCAAGTGGACAGATGGAATGCAGATAACGCTGTGGAACAACAGATATGGTGCGCATGCATGTCGAACAGTTGCAACTGTGATTTATCAACACTGTGCACAAATGCGCATTTGGTTGGCCGAATAGTGATCAATTCAAAATCTTTTAGAGAGCCAAACCACAAAAAGCACTAGTAAAGCGAATACGAATTAGAATACAGCCAATGCGAACGATTAATAAGCATAGTTTGAATAGCAGAAAAACGACAATAAGTAACAATCAGAGGTGTAAAAAGGGTTACGAAAGTCAGATTGGAATTGATAAGAGGAATGATTCATGAGTGAAACCTATCATCTTTCTGAAGCTCTGTAAATCGTTTAAGACTTTTGCTTTCAAAAGTGAAAACTAACACACGAAGTGTCCAGATAGAGATAGAAATTGACACATTGCTTGGACGCGTGGCGTTTATCCATGAAGAAAACAGTTTGTTTGTTAAAACACTGAATGGATAAGGCAAACGTCTGACAGCCGTAACTGCTAAAGGACATGAGAATGGGTTGACGATCGTAGATAGGCGTTCGCTTTCATCAGTATTCGATGGACACTTGAAAGGATAATGCATCCAAGTCATGAATCAGGATGAGTGCTTGACGCAGCAATTAGGTGGCCGCATTATCACGATAGTGAAGCATGCAGCAGTAATAGACTCTATCGTAGGCTAAATTCCAGTAAAGCAAGATGAAAACTAATAGGGATTACCGATTTCACGAGCGTTCCGTCAGGTGGGTTAGAAAAAGAAATATAAGTTACACAAGTAACAGATCGTGGATGGATCGAGACGGTCGCACAATGGAATAAGAACAGTTAGCAGATGAGATTTTTACAAATGATGAAAACCCTGACAAGTTAGGCAAGGAGGAAATGTAACATGAAATGTAGTAGGAAGGAGTGTGAAACACCAATGCCTCAGTAGAACGATTCGAATTGAACGTACACAATTGGAGTTTTATTTGCTGAATGGGTTATTACAATGTCATGGGACTTGTTCAAAAACAGTCACGAAGAAAAAAAATCATTTAAGCCACTCTAATTAATAAAAACACAGAAACCGACGAATTTTAAGGTTAATGGAAGCACAAAGTATCCACTACATGAAACTCCACTATGCACCCAAAGGGCATACGTGGCTGAACTCGCAAGTTTAGAAAAGATTGCATCATTTCAATTTGAGGTCACTGAAACAGACGTTTAATTATAACGCATAAATTTCATGCTTACGCATGTGCGTACAGTAGACAACGACACATTAGATCACGTGAATTCTCCGTTGGTTCGATAATTCAATTATATATTGAAGGGAGGAGAACAATTAGTATGAAAGGCAGTAACCTTCAGTTGAAATTTGAATATGAAATATTTCATCTTGTAGACACATGTGCGAAATACATTCCCCTCTGACTCTGAAAACCTTTCACGTTCATGCCAAGAGCAGCAGTGGCAGAGGCATCACCAGATTGATTTCACTCCCATCTCCTGCCAATGAGTGTGGTAGTGATCAATGATAATTAACAGATATTGCCATTCTCCTTCTAGAAAATAGGTTGGGAAGACCGAGGTATAACAGTTCCAACGAAGTGTAACCGTTTACGCTGACAAACTATCGTATATATGCAAATAATAGTTATTTCAGTAAGAAAATGGAAAAAATACAGAAAAAGATAAACGGAACAATCGAACCTTAGTGAGTCTAAATAAAACATTCCAAGCACGATTTAATGGTTAGTCAAATCAGACCCTTCTCTGGCTGCTCATAAGCCTGTGGGAACTACATCACAGCAGAATGCGACTAAAGACGTCCATCTTTATTCATACGGAAGAGATGGGATGAGCGATAAGAAAATCACTCACATCGGGGACTGTGTGGCGCACAGGGGCAACGTGACAGCGTGACCCACGGACGAGAACAGAGTTGAGTTGCGATGTGTCTGAGGCATACCCAGCGTACGAGGATTACGCTGCGACGGATGACGGGCACTGTGATTGCTGCTATTGTTATCATTTTGCACGGCAGTGTTGTTCGTAGCTATCACGTTGCCTTGATCAAGTTGATCATGATTAGACGGTCCGAAAACGAACTGATCCGTCGGGTCCACAAACCCAATCCCAGGAATAGTGTTCGCTCGAGGCGGTGCTGATACTGCACTGCTCGTATGACGATGCATGATTGGATGAACTTGTGATGGCACTATTGATTCGCTCCCTTGTGTGCGACGATGGTCACCATTGGTAAGATTGCCATTCACAGGAATCAGATGTAATCCTGAGGGCTGATCATGCAAACGATTGATAGGTGAACTGGATCGAGGACGTGAATTCGGTGAGATATTGTTAACCGCCAAAGGTCGCTGAGATTGGATTGGGGGTGCCGGTGGCGGTGCACAGACTGGTGCAGTGGAAACAGGAAGTGCTTTTACAGCTTGCTGTGGTTCACGAGGCATGCTTAGGGAGAAAACTTCCTCCGTATCGGGTTCGCGATCGTCCAGTTTGTGCTCTTCTGGATTCGGATGGGTTAGGATAAATGGAAGCTCGAGGCAAACATCACTGAACAAGGAAGAGCAGAATGAAAGAAGAGTGTGATGCTAAACATTGAAGAGAAAACATACAAGGGAACTAACTGATATGGTAATTTGATTTAGGTTTGAATACCATGATTTTTTATGAGGGTAAACATAATGATCGTACGATTAGGTAAATTGAAAACAAAATGGAGGCTGTCCGTAACCGACCGAACACGATATTTAACTGCACTAAGAAATCCCCTAGGTCTGTACGAGAAACATAAGTTCGACATTCGAACAACTAAACACCCTCGAAGTAGCGGGGGGGGAGTAACACAGCTTTGCACTGTCAGATCAAAAGATGGTGGTTACTCATAAGATTTTTTCGGATCGTATTCCTAACTGGAGCGGCAAACTTACAATCCTGGATGCCTTATTGATACCACACATTTGAAAAGCACACATAGTGATCAGAAGGGGCGGTGGTGGCCCGGTGGTAACGTCACCAAATTATCGTCCCGGGAATGTGTGTTCGAATCCCACCACCACGGCCTGACTTTCACCTTTGTGTTGAATGGCAGCCCTTTGACTGGCCACTTCTCTCTATCTGAAAATTGTATCTTTGTATATTCAATAAAAGGAAGTAAAATGAAAAAAAGAAAAAGAAGGACAAAAGAGCCTTAACCAAGGGGACGTCCAATCACATCAAGTTAAAGAGTACTACGTTAGTCGATACAAAGATTCCCAAATTATTGACCGAGTCCTCAGCTCATCCGGTCACATGATGAGTGTTTGTGTGTGGCAATACATATGCCTCTCACGTGATAAATCTCGAGTTCGCATCGCGGACTTCGAGAAGTACCACTGATGAGTTTTAACAAGAGTGAAATTCGAATCTGGCAATTTCCAAGGGGACGATTATTTGGGTTGTGCACATGAGTGAAGTCAAGATCGTCAGTTAAAATCGAAAACACCCTAACCAAACCACTGCTCACCCGTTACTGCGAATTGTGTGAAAATCATTCAAATTAGTTCCTGATGCCTAACACTAACTTTTATCTCACCGGTTTCTGTGTTGACGGAATCCCTGGGAATCGGGTGCTACGGACTCCTCGAACGAGACGGGAATGCATATAACATGTGCATTCGGTGTTCTGAATGGATAAACATATTTTCTTTTGTTGATGTCAAAGCTGATCTTGATTACCAGATGTGTGAGAGAATTTCCTATCAAAGATGCGATCGTTTTTAGCCTCAAAGCTGTGGCAGGGTCTAAAGATCAGTACGACAGATCTGACTGAAAAGCCGACGATTATTTTTGCGCATGTGTGACCGAATACACAGACTCGTATGTTCACCGCCGAAAGAAAAATAATACATCGATCTACGGCATACCAAGCTTGGACAAGACACACAGGGAGATGCCGGTGGAAATAAAATGACAAAGTTGAAGCAATGATAAACCCTATCGCCCAGCTATAAACCAAGTGTCAAGATGGAAAAAACTATGGCAGGGAGAGTGCAGAAGGCGGTTAGTGGGACAGGACATTGCACTGAAGGACATATCAACCAGACTGCAGAGTTTCGATAAGGACAGAGAAGATACATCGAACAGGAATTTATTCTACAGTGATACAGAAACAGGTTGGAGGATAAACGATAAAGAAGACAATCATAAATTACACTGGAAAACATAGCTTAATTGTTCGTTCGTCCGGTGAGATGAGTCACACATGTCGGGAGGGTATGGACATGATAGAATGAAGGTGGACAGTGGGCGGGGAAAATTGATTACGACTAATGTGTGTTATTGAGTGACTTCAAATGTGAAAAGAAAAGTGGAACGTGGTTCTCCTGTCACTGTATTTGATTTACATCACATCGTTAGAGTAAATGACAAACCGAGATGCAATGAACCATCAACTCTCTCTCTGTAGGTCAACAATAAAAACTGCGTTTCAGTTATAATAAAGCCGACAGCAAAGTCAAAACATCCCGGGTAGGCAACACAACGTTTCTGTATGAGGCAATCGGGAATGGCCACAATGCGTGACGACGGAGTGCTGAAAATAGGTAACTCCGTCCAAACTGCTCTCCTACTTTTACAGCTCAACCATGTAGATTTCATCATCAATAACTGAACTTGCAACGTTTGACCTACGTCTGCGCAAAACGAAACACCAAAAACAATCTAATTTCACATGTCATTGTGAGCACGTCATCCAGTTCCTCGTCGAGCTCTGATACATCCACGGAAAGCATGAAACACAATTCAACTTCTGTCTATAGTACTATAAGGCCGGTTTTAATAAATGATAGATTGTCGGAAAAACTATCAGATGATATACCGGATGCACCTTAATGCAACAACATCTAATCATTTGATAACGTAAAGGAATTACATTAACAAATTTAGGTCCGAATCGTCCCTCATCTATTGCATGAACTTCATCGAAAGTCGAGTGTCATATATGCACGGATTCTTCTGTACCCGTCACGCGTCATTAGTTCTGCCAATCCAGTTTGAGAACTTTGAAAAGTTGCCTTCGAGAGCACAGGCGCGGACGGCGATGAAGAATGACGGCTGTTTCCGCTGCAGCTAGCATGGAAAACGGAAAGTGTCTAGATTATCCGGTTCCAATTTTAGTGTTCTATCAGTGCCCATCGGGACCGTAGATGTAACTATTTCAATTACGACAGATTTAATTGCTTCAAATCTCAGCCACACAGGTACCGTTCAGATAGGCGTTCAGAACAAGCAAGCAAATACAAAAGACGACAGTAGAATCGAGCATTCAACCACAGATTTGTCAAATGGTTGTGACTGGATTTTTGTTGGTGATGTGACAGATCTTTATGCATTTTCTCTCTCTCCCTCAGACACAGACAAGCAAATTACCCATGATTTGTCGTTTCGGGCTATACACTCCACTGAACCTAACTTCATCATGACAATACATATGTTCTACTTCAAACACATCTGCACACATACAAACAAAACATCCAATAAGCTAAGCGTCATTTGTACGACATCGCATTTCGAAAGACAATGTTGTGATCGAAAGGATTTGCCGCGTGAATACGCACACTGTGCATACATCGGAATAATCACACATACACACACAAACACATCTCATACACGTTCATGTACAACCGAAATATCGCGCATAATGAAATTCACAGAAAACATTCCGTGGGTATACGAAAACAGATATCCATTACCAATGTATGTGAGAGAGGGATTTGGACACGAACTCGATGGTTAAATTGTGCAAAACACAAACAACCCCTGAAAAGAGTGTAGAAAAGAAAAAACGTCATGTGTCAAGGAGACATCGAGAAGAAATTATGATATAACAGCTCACCTGATACTGAATCCTAGAATCAGTCTCACTTTGACTTTGTATTGTACAAGGATGCCCACCGGTACACGAGGAGCGGAATGAGGAGGAGTACTGATCAAAGATTGAAGTAGGGTGGGGCGATGAAAAAAAGGAGAATTCATAAATCTGTCGAACTCCAAGGATATCTGATCAACAAGATCTCTTTCGGTTCTACTGTGATAATCCTAACGGGAAGACAGAGTAACGAATATATACACATATTGATCGAAGTTGTGCAACGCGACTCCCATTTTGAAAATACATTTCAGCTGCCACGGACATACGTGTATATCGATAGCTATGGGTGAAGAGTATTTATTCCGAGCTTTATCTCTCACTGTAATGCTCTTAGTTTGAATTTGCTTGATTTGAGTAGCGTGATTAAATTTGTATTTGTATGGACTTTTGCGTGAACAGATGTCTGCATTTCAGTCAAAAAAATTGGTGGTAGTTCAAAAGTTTAGGTTCATAATTGAATATTATTTCATGCAAAGGCAGAATGGAAGTTATTTCTTTCTAATAAATGGTTGCTGTCTCATGAGGATGTTCATCATGGTCAATACAACTGTTTTAAATAGCTCATCTTCGTTTCATTTGGTACACAGTGAATGAGCCAATTAATGAAAATGCTTTAGCTTAAATAAATTGACTGATTATTTGGCTACTCACGTGAAATTCCTGATCCCGAAGGGACTCAAACTATAGTCTAAGAAACATAAAAATTGACCTCAAGGTATGCGACTCGTTTAATAAGCGTTAGTAAGTGTCACTACAGTAAGACCGGATAAAAATCCAAGAGTTTGTGTCATGTAGCTGAAGCCGAGAAGCAACTTATACGAGAGGCTCACAAATCCGGGGACTTAGTTCCCGACTTGTGTAAGCGCTTCAATGTGAACATAAGCCCATTTTGTTGCACAATCAACGGAAGTTCTCTGTCAAGACAAACCATAAGAGAGAAACCCGATCACATCGAGCCATATGATGGACGAATTTGAACGCAGCTGAGAACAGTTGCATACAACCAATGTAAAGAATAGTCCGTGCGGATTGGCCACAATTTTCTCACGCCACCGTTTGAAAAATGATAGCTCAATTTGAACTGCAGGTGAGGTCACCTGATTTGAAGTCGTCAACGGACGCCCAAAAAGGAGAGCACGGACTGATTTTAACAACTAATTCAAATCGAATCGCCCGTCCATCTCATCCATGGTCAAGGAGCAAGCAAGCGTCGAAAGCTGATCTACTGATCTTGTCTTCCAAATAATTTCAGTTCACCTGTCAAAAAAAAGTAAATACCCATCTCACCGAATGATATATATATATATATATATATATATATATATATATATCACATTTGTCTGAGGACAGACTGTGTGCCAGGCAAAGGAAAATAGTCCATGATTGGCTTGTGGGCTGAATACTGCCAGGTTGCCCAGACCAAGGCAAGTGAATTGTCTTGGGGAATTCACAACCGGAGCCTTCGGCTAGCCAACGCATGACCCGCAAGGCAGAGCATGTGAAAACCGCAGTCCATTGGGAGCTGGGGCCCAGTTCATCGGATCATTCGCCCTTCGGACGGGGTTAACCGTCCAAGGTGCCCAATACACCTGAATGTCCAATCGAGCCAGTGACCACCGCCACAACCGACAAGATGTGGGTGTGGTTCGTACGCCTCCTAATGGTTGGTAAGGAATCAGGGCTCTTGGCCAACTCCTCTAAGTGAACTACCAGTGGTCCACCAACCCGGTTATAGCCCCGAATGTCGGCTTTTCGTCCTCTCACCTAATGAGTTGGAAAGAAAGTAAATACCGAGCGCCCTGTTCTTGGTCTTCCATACGTTCCATTTCTGGATTTTGCGAAATTCGTTGCACTGATAAGGCACATTTTCGATAACTGTCACTTCCGAAGAAGTCGTGTTATTCCCAGTTGAAGATTAGTATAGCATCTCACGAGAGGCTGATCGTAGAAAACGGTTAGACCTCATTAAATATCGTATTTTCACATCTATACAGTTTCTGTATGGGTTTAGTACAATGCTGAATTCATTCAACAGTTGGGATTTTAATATAATCATGTTAGAAACAGAGATAGGTTAGCTACCTCGATAGTGATCAGAGTGCGGCATGTGTTAGAGAAAACCGGCAAATGTTGTTCCAGGATCAACTTGGCAGATTCCGTGCATAAACGACCCCAGTACTCAAAAATAAAAAGAGGGCAAATCCAGTGAATGAGGCTCAACACACTAAGGGTTGGAAAGAACATCATCATGTGCTTTTTGATTCGGAAAATAAATAACTTGTCGTTAGCGAAATATCCAAGCAGTTTCGAGCGCAATACTTTCCGAAATTGGGAAAAAAAGAAAAACAGAGGTATTATCATTGTTCTATTGGCAAGTGGATACAGGGAAGAGTTCTTTCGGAAGATAGTCTTAAACACGTGATGAATAGAGTGCTCTGTTTTATTCTCGCACACATTGACAAACCAAGTTTCTCGTGCGGTAGTTGAAGTCGAATGATAGGCGAACATTAGTCATAAATGTCAAACGATATCTAGTATGTTACGGGGACCACAGGTAGCAGAGAAAAACATGAATAAATAATGAGATGTATAAACGAAAATTACGTCAGGAACGAACACCAATTCGTCCAGATACTTATCCATCTGGTGGCTAGTGATTGACGAAAGTGGATAGGACTTAAAAAACAACCAATAGTCTAATGAAACATACTTCAGCAATCCAGATAGAGTATTCTTTGGATTCCTCTTAACAAAATTGAAAAAAGGCATTCACAACAGATATTAGACTGAGTTACATGGCCAGCATCCTGATGCGTCTTGAGACAACCAAGTTGTGCATCCCGGTTTATAAATACTCATGGCATTGGGTAAACAATCTATACCGCAGCGTTACTGGTTTGCTTCAAAGTGAATGATTAAACGGTATGTTTCGGTTTATCAGCTAAATGAAGTCAAGGAACTTAAGAGTGAACTGTAAAATTTCAGGCACAAAAAACAGAGTGATGGAGATTAACTTATTCAAAGAAGGATTGCGAAGTGGAGATGAATTCAGAAGTATTATTCCAGAACACCAATCCATTCACAACCGAGGTGTAAGCGTTATGAGTGAACCAAAAAAACGCATGGTCCGGGCTCTGGCAAATGACACCAGGTAGCCCTCAACTCGTTTACTACCTTCACACAGACAAAACCTGATCGGACGTGAGGTACATCTAGTTTCGATGAAAACGACAGATATTTTCTATAAGCAACCTTACGTTGTGACCTTGTCCAGTGCTAATCTAATGCTGTACGTTCGTTTCTAAGACTGTTTTCTGCTCAGAAGCGGGTAATACGTTCACCTTTCGAAGTGCATTAAGCATACACTTGACTTGAACATCAGATGCTCCTTGAGCTAATTACGTCGTCACAACCCCATCACCAGAGTGGCAGGTTTGTTTTGATAAATGACGGACTGCATATTAAAGTGTACATTGTCAACGTGTCACGTATCACATGTTGGACTCATGATCGTATCATGGTACTAAGTATGTGAGTCAGAGTTCTGTGCTTCATTTACCTTTGGTCTTCGTTTCGTTCATTCGGTTAAACACCATCCTGCCAGTGAAGTGATTGGTCCTAGTCGAGTATCGAAAACGAAATCGTAAATATCTGCTATAATCGATGAGTGATTATCAAGTTGACAATAGGGTTACGATTGTCACAACACAAGCAACAGATCGGGTCTGTGACCCATGTTTGAAATCGATCTGCCGCTCAAAGCAAACTTTTGTCGTTGTCACAGAGAAACTATGAACTCTCGGGAGGAACAGAATCCTCACGTACTGATATATGCTCCTAAAACAGTCGGCATGTATGGTAGGTACAGCAAACTAAGTTGTATTCCAACGCCTTATTCCTCTGCAGACAAAGGACGATGACCTATGCTATTGTATGGATACCTGGATGAAAGCCAGTGCATTAAATAGATCTTGGTGATGCAAAACAACTCTCAGCGGACACATTGTTGGAGAATGGAAAAGATAAAACTAAGTTTTAACAAAAATGTCCGCATAGAGAAGAAATTTACAAATATAACGAGGAATGTCAATTTCGAATTTCAGCGTTAATGCACTTTCGTGTAACCGTTTTGGTTGCTGTCTTATGACATGGAAGACTGAAAGGTTATCAGAATGTTCTAGTCATTTCTAGGGTGAAAACAGAGAACTCGCGAACACTAAGGTTGCAAGGATATGGAATAGATGCACGGACCTCAATGGCAGCTAGACAAGAGATAAGATAAGGTGGAACAGAAGTTTCTGCACAAAAACATTCACGTTGACGGAGTGATAAGCGTATTTGCATATTGGAGCGGAATAAGTGAGAGATCTCAGTTAAAAACCAGGTTGAGGGCTGAGGGAACAGAAAGAAATCAGTTACAGCAAGGAGAAAAAAATAGACCGGAATAGCGAATTCTGTTAAATGAACGATTTTGACAAAAATCCCCCCACATGCTGGTTTAGTGGATTTTTGTTGTACTTGACAACGTTATTCAGCCAAAAAGGTAATTGACGCATAACTGTTCAATTATGATTTTCGAAAAGCGAGAATCGTCTACGTCAGGCATTTTATTCTACAGCAATAAACAGAGCTTTGGAGAACACATTGATCCAGTATTGTTATTGTTGTTGGGATCAAGGCTATGTAAAACTGTACATGCATGATTACGGCGGATCATACAAAATAACAAATGCCCGAATCATGGGACGTTAAACAGGTGTGGGGAATGCGCTTAGTTCAGCTCGCCTGCAAAGTGACCGGCGCATCAACGAATCGAATCTTTGGCACGCGAAAATATACTAAGTGAAGGGAAAAATTCAGCCAATCAGAATACAGTTCTGTTTTTCTTAAAAGCGGAGTGAGTAGAGTTCTCGTGGAAGGTTGGAATGCAGCGTGGAAACAAAAGCATAGGTAGGTGCGTAGCTGAAGAGACCTGTTCATATGTAAGATCGCACAACTCGGCAACCAGCAGGGATGCGGCACAATGAGGAAAATGAACGGAAAAGGTACGGAAAGGAACTCACATTGAAGACGAGGCCAAATTGGTATCTTCGTGTTTCAGATCCCCGTCCATAGCGATCCCAATTTTGTCACGATTGTGAGAGAGCAACGGGCAGAGACGGTACACTTTGCACCAACCCGTCTGACTTGGACAGATTGGGAAACCCTCACTGGACGGATGCACAGGAATGGCCGTTGTGCACCCGGGGTTCGGATCAGGATTCAAAGAAATCACCGAGATGTGAACGGATCAAGAGAGAAAGAAGTGGCAGTGTAGTGAGAGTCAGGCAAGATAGCTATTTGTGAAACAGTGACAGACACATGAACCCAGTCGACGGGTTGACTGAATGAACTGAGTAGATAAACAGCAATAAACCTGCCCAGTTGGTGTATTAAAGTCGCTCTAAAATATGTCAATTTCTAACTCTGTTTTTCGTACTGGGTGTGCGTACCACTTCTTCAAATAAAAAAAAACAGTTAGGTAGAGAAATACAGGAGCAAGATGTACGGCACAATGAAGATCAGTGAAAAAAAAAATAAGTCCACTGATAATTCAGTAGCTTAGCAACCGGAAAAACCAAAACCAACCACACCGGATGGGTAGAAGCAAAGGATCAAATGAATTTCTAAAATCCACGAATCGAATGCGACTGAGTACACACTAAATATATTGTATAAGGTCTAAATATCGATAGATTTTGAATCGTGTCAATCCCGAATTTCCGCCAATCAGTTGCCCTCGACCAATGGATGACATCAAAGACAACGCATGTGGATAAACTGGTCTCACCATTGCACCTCATAGTTTCAATCTGGATTAAATCAGAACTGTGAGCGTCCATTAGGTTCTTTTGGCGTTTCAAAATCAGAAGCGTAACACGATTCTGGTATGAAATGTATATGGCGTTGTTTAGTTAAAAAGCATGAACCACCGTCGGGCGTCGGGATTTGAAGGCAGAAGAAAGTCACTCAAAATCCAGATGCATGAGTTAACTGTCTGCTGGTCTTCTTGAATCAGTGATGAAGTGCATGAACTGGCTGCAAGACTATATGCTGGATATTATGGATACGACAACGACCGCTACACAAAGCCGGTTGAACTAGGGCATCATGTACAACGAGGAATGAGACAATTTATAGGAGACTCTGACTATTCATGGGAACCAATAGCGAAGTTCCAAAAAGTAGCAAAGGTCAGGCAGTCCTCACACAAAGTGGGATTCACTGGGTTCAGTATAACAGACAGTGGCACTTAAAAATTCATGAGATGAGTAAGGATGTGAGAAACGAATACATTCAGGCAGACAGTGGTGGAAACAGTTCTTCAGTTTGAGGTAGAGCGATCCTAGGAATTTATGTGACTCAAGAATGCCTATTGATGTGAATTTCAGAGGCTTATAATTCTGGAGTGGATTAGGATCGTCAATGTGAAAATGCCTTCTTTTTGAAGCGGGACAATACAAACGATACTAACCAATGATTAAGAACATAAGAAGACGAAGGAAACTAAAGGGCTGTCAAGCCCACGTAATAAAAATCTGTAGAGTTCCTGTGACAAGGAGAACACTAATGAAGATCAGTGAGGGTGGCCATTCCGATGAGTTGATCTAAAGCAAATCGAAGTGCATTTCCTTCGAAGGTTTTTTTACTNAGCTTAACCCAGGGTTAACTTGTTTGTTATAGCTTCACTAACCCGCGGTCAGATGATAGGATGGAAGAAGCCGACCAGTCGAGCACAGGTTTCCACAGTACTAAACATTGCATCAGCATAAGAGAACTTAGTAGGACAGACGGGTCGAAAAACCACACTATCGGATGAACCATAGTTTAGTAAGGATCACGCGGTTGGGACATTCTCCCTTTTTGAATTCAGACGCAACACAAGGATAAATAACACGAGTCCTAAGTATTTGCTCGTGACAGGAAGGCTTTATTCCCGAAAACTGAAGGACCTTGGTGACCGATATTCGCATCACAGCTAATTGAACAAGATACGATTTTATCCAATCCCGTTTCATTCTTCCAAACACTAGATACTTCCACTTCGTTCTTCATGTTCTTTGCTGCTACGGTTGAGCTGTTTCCCAAAACAATGCGAGGCCAAGCATCCACGTTCATCTTTCAACTGCATGCGGTTGAGCACCCGACGAAATCAAGTTTCAGCTTCATGTTGGTTCTGCACATGAATCTAATCTAATTAATGAAATCAAACATTCTCTTGTTAGTGTATTTCATTGATCTACAAACTGTTAACACCAGGCTCACACATGCCCAAACGTATTACACTCATTCTGTCTCCTTCTATACTGATTTTTTCTATCACTTACAATAGGTCAGGTAGCAAATGGCTCTCAGTGAGAGTGCTCAAGCCGTGTGTCGGATTGGATAACGGTCGGCGGTAGGTTCTACGTAGTGAGACTAGGAGGTTCGTGCAAAGTAGGCATTCTTCGCCCAGATAGACAAACCTTGTTTGCGGTGTTAGCGTACGCACCAATGGACCGCAGCCCAGATGAAATTAAGGATCTAATCTAACAAAAGCTGCATGAACTGTGTAAAGCGACCCGAATTGATATCGTGAATTTGGCAGGTTGGTTGACATCGAGTGAGGTGAATCAGACGATCCAACTACCGATAGTTACTCTTGATGTCCACCCTCCTCGAATCAGCGATGAAAGCAAATGGCGAGGCTTCATACAAGACTGCCGACGGTACAGAAGCACTCCCATCCAATCCGACCGTGCATTAGTATGCGCCAAGCTGTTTTTGTCTCTCTCTCTGTATATATATATATATATATATCAATAAGACCGAAGCTCAGGATATAGGAGTACGTGTGCGGACCGAACAACGCGGCTGCATTGGATGTACCACGAAGGAGAATTAAATGAGTTCGAATGCGTATCTCCGTCAACTCAGCATGATTTGTATACACTATTATACACCCAGGAGAAAAAACGAGTTGTAATTAGAATATTACTCAGATACACTGCTGTGTACGAGTGACTTTGTATGGTTTGGCGATAAGCTTTTAATTGAGGAATGAAGTGTGTCAGGTGTTGAAGTCAATTAGATAGGTCTATAAGCACGACATTCGAAGCACAAATCCAAAGCAATCATGATGGTGATTATTAGGGATGAATTGCACTGGGCGCGTTTTTAGACTGAAACGGAAATACG